GACCATTGAGGCTGTTGAAAGGATCCGGCTTGCTTTCCCCGCGGTATTACATCTTCTTACCCCCTTTTTTCCCTTCCCCAAAATCAGTGTTCACTCCCCTGCATGCAATCTTTGGAAGAAAAAAAACTAATGTCTTGTTACCAATGAGTTTAGGGTCAGCATGGACAGTAAGAAGGAAAAATGCTTACTTGAGGCTGTAATGGTACTTTCAATCGAAAGTGGTCAAAGTGTTTAATTCACTTTAACAAGGGTATCAATATTTAACTTTTTTGTGATTCACTTTCCGTGGAAAGTAAAAATATGTTTGAAACACATAAAATGTTAGGCATTTTTTAAAAACAATTATCTTCAATTTCTTGTCTTCCAAATTTCACCTCAAATTGCATGCCTGCTTACTTTCCCTAGAAGCTAGAAATTTTAAGCTAATGTTGACCACATTTCACTCAAGCTCAAGTCTGATTGTTATGATAGAAAATAATTGGTTGGAAAGTTACTTATTGTCCATCATAAGTCATAACAGACACACCAATACACTATAGAGAGAACAAACCTCAGCAGTTTGAGAGGTAGCTATGAGTGAATTTGGCTATCTTATTGGCCAATATGATACATAATGATGATCCTGACTTTTTCAACAAGTTGGGAACCATTTGAGAGAGTCATATGCATAGCAAGTGTAGCAGTCTTCCTTATGATTCATGCATACATAGTATGCACCAGAAACTCATTGTAATTCATTTCATAGATTCCAATATATGCACGAGCTCAGGACGTGAAGCATTTATTAAATCTGAAGAAAGCAGGTGCAACAGATGCTATCCTTGAAAGCACAGAGGTAAGACTAACCTAGTCCTTCCTTTTGCCATTTGTATCTTGTGAACAAATGAGCATTGCTTTGATAATTCATTCCGGTGCAGTCGAGTTTACAGCTTGGCTCCAAATTGTTGAAAGGGTTTGGTGTAATGTCTGACGATGTGACTTTCCTGAGCCAACTGGTCCGAGATTCTATGGAGTTGCAAGCCCAAGAAGGACTTGGTAAAATTGATGATCAAAATCAAATTATGAAGCCATTGCAGGTATTGATACAGAGTAAATTATTAAATGGACACATTATATATATCATGTAAAATTGCTGACAAGTGGATTGCAATTGTTAAGATGCTATTACTAAATGTGTGACACTATATAAAATCTCTTTATTAGGTACGAGTAGGGGAGCTATTAATGGCCAGAGAACCAACTGAATCTAAAGGCGAAGTATGGAGAACAGAAGAGCAGACGGTTAAAAGCTTTGCCTTCTCAAGTTCTGAACAGTTGACTCGTGACCCTGAAAACCATTTAGAAGGTCATCTTGAAGAAGAAGAAGAAGAAGAAGAAGAAGAAGAAGAAGAAACCAATCAAGAGTGATTTCTGTCAACTCAGAAAACATCATCAATATAAGCAATGCAGATGTATAGTCTCCCACAGACAGCTGTAGGTAGAGATTAGAGATTAGAGAGTGACATTTCGGGATGCTAAGTTTTCAACTTAGAGATGCTTAGCCCAAACACACATCATTCTTTTTTATTTTTCTTTTTAAAATACAACTTTGTGTAGCTATACTGTACATAATACTACGTACAACTTTTTCTATGAATGAATGAGAGCTGTACCTAACGCGGTAACACCTTGTGAGTTCACAACCTTTCACATAAATGATTAGTCTGCGATAATAAGAGTTTGAGAAACAACTTATCACATCTAACGTACCCATTGAATGATAAAGAATTCTATAAAGTAATGTTGATTAATATGGTTATTAATGCAACATATCTTTGCTAAAAGCAAAAATGGAAAATAAAGGTGACTATCAATCAAATATATAGTGTGCACACTACACATCCAGATATATAGTGTGCTTGATACATCCAATTATCTAAACTCTAAAGAACATTCTTTGGGTGCAAAACTAGTGTTGTTTACATTCGAATAGATAGTACAAGATTGAGAGGAGGGCGATGAAACGAGCAATTTGACATTTTGACGCAAACCAAGCAATTAGTAAGTTACAGATATACTTGGGTGTCAAATTACATTAGGGCTGGACTCGGGCCGGGCGGCCCGACCCGGGACCGAACCGGCCCGGTCACTGTTTGGCCCGGCCCGGCCACTGGTGGGTCCACTGGTTCGGTTTGGCCCGGCCCGGGTGCTGGGCGGTCCGGGCTCGGGCCCAGGTTTTGGTGAACCGGCCCGGCCGGTTCGGGCCCGGTCCGGGCCGGATTTTAATTTTATTTTATTTTTTGAATTTTTTTTAAGTTTTAGGTTGGATTAGGTATTTTGGGCCATTTGAGGTGGTTTGGGATGGTTTGGGGTTGAGGGGGAGGGATAGGGGATTAAATAGGAGAACAAAAAAAAATTAATTGGGCCGGTTCGGCCCGGCCCGGCCCGGTTTGGCCCGGAACCGGAACCGGAACCGGCCACCGGCGGTTCGGGCTCGGGCCTCCCCTTTCCTGGCCCGAGGCCCGGCCAGGCCCAGGCCCGAACCGGGCCCGAACCGGCCCGAGTCCAGCCCTAAATTACATGCTTGATATACTTTGATGTGTATACCGATAGTATATTTTGCCTCATCTACTGTCTTTTTTTGTTTTTTTTTTTATATTATATTAGGTGAAAATTATCAAATAAGCAGTCCGTTTATATCTAACCAAAGGGTGTGAGTTTTATGAAAATATTCATACGGAGTATATAAAACAAAAAATTGAAGTTCCAAGAGAGATTGTCACCCACGTCACTACAAAAAAAATAGGATTGACACGGATTGATCGATGGTTTCCTGCCAAAAATGTGTGTCATGTAGTGACCCCCTCTCTCTCTCCAAAATCTGCCTTGTGCTTGAGGAAAACAATACTCAGGATAAATGAGAAATTTATAAAGATAAAGATTTGGGCAAAAGTAGAAGATGAAGTAAAGGAAAAGATAAGAAAAAGGAAACAAAAAAAGTTAATGAAGTAATACGAAAAGATGGAGCGAGTGGGGTGAAGTAAATGGAGAAGGTGGAATACCAAAGTGGGAAGAGGGGAAGAGGTGGGGCGAAATAAAAAAGGGTAGCAAATACGAAAAGGTGGAGTAGTGCGAGTGGGGTGAAGTAAATGGAGAAGGTGGAATACCAAAGTGGGAAGAGGGGAAGAGGTGGGGCGAAATAAAAAAGGGTAGCAAATACGAAAAGGTGGAGTAGACCCGGTGGGTGGGAGAGGTAAATGAAGAGGCAAGGGTAGAAATTAAATGAGGGTAGCAAGGTTTTTTTGTCTGAACTTTATTTTCTAAAATAGAAATGAGCCTTTTCTATAGGGACAACCCAAAAAGGAAACAAAGCCTTTTATTTAGGGTCGGAGGGAGTAGATTTTAAATGAGCTGGCCGACGTTTAGAATATAATCCTACACTATCAAGTATCAACATGTGATATTTCTAATCGAGTAATCTCAAGAACATACCCCTCCGGGTTAATCTTAGGGAGCGCTGGAGTTTAAACTCTTAAGAAACCATATGAGAATAATATTGAGTTTACAACTACTTCAAACTTTATCGAATAATTAATGTTTAAATCTTCATATTGAATCCATGATCTTCTCTTTCGAGAAGTCTTTAAACATAAGTTGTTATTTTCTATAATTTGTTTTTTTTGTGAAAATTTTCATCTAGACATCTCGGAGGATAAAATTTTTGGTGAAAATTTTGGATTTACAAAGATAATGGAAGGCTCATTTCATAGAGGCTTTTCTTATGTTGTCCAAAATATCAATTTGGAAGAAATAATGGGCAACATGAGATATTCAATCGTCAATTTAAGTTAATCTTTTAAAAGGAACCATTATAAAAGATCGAGTAGGACCTTTCATTTCACCCGATATGTCGTCATTGGATGTGCATCTAGTTATGTGCTAGACTGCTAGTAGGTAATTTTATTTAAAAATTCTACACGTATGTTTGCTTCATTAAATACGTCCATGTATGTTCTTATTCTATGCTATATTCATTGCTGAATTCCCCGGTCTCATTCAAAACAATTGTCGATAGCTCAAAAAAGTTTGTTTTCATCACCATGAATGACTTAACATGAAATGAAAAGAGAACTGATACATATAATCCATTTGTAATTTTTCTTCAAACTCCACCTTATAATTTTTTATTCATATTTAAAATTAACAAAGTTCTATATGTTTCGTAACTATTTTTCACGCTCTACCTTATACTTTTTCAATTCGTGTGATTCATATTTAAAATTTAACAAAATTTATCGTGTTTCATAAGTGACACTCGCATATTTAACACACCATTTATATTCGATATAACATGACTAACTACAAATATTTGACACACATGATTTATACAGAGTATCTGATTTGTATAACATAACTTACATATTTGATAAAACATTTTATATTTTGCCTAAGTCATTTACACCAAATATTCGACTCTTTTATTAATAAATAATATTCCCACCGTCCCTGAAACAACTTCTCACTTTCCTTATTTGGATGTCCCTAATTTAACTTCTCATTTTCTTAAACGGCAAATTATTTATATCAAAACAGTGAGAAACAGTGTCAAACAGTGTCAAAATAGTAAAATTGTTTCATAAAGTGATAAGTTTATTTCCTAAATATGTGTGTAGGTCAAACCAGAAAGTTGTTTCAAGAAGAGTACATACTTTAATTTAAAAGTTAATCACATATTTCTAAAACTGCATAATACTTCGCATCATTTACAATATAATGATATATACATAAAATATGAATCATAACTTATGTTCATTTTCTTACAAATTATAGTGTAGTAACTTTTAATAATTTTTCATAAATAAATTTTATTTCAATAAAATTATCCAAAAATATATTTATGTATCAAGCATTTCTGTATAAAATTTATTTATACTATACTTACGCCATTCTTGCCGATCCCCAGGTATACCATTTCATTTTAAATAATGTTTTTTTATGACATGGCAAGATAAAGTGATAAACACTAATCTTGTCTTTTAATACTGAAACATGAAATTTTTATATGTTCAGAGTCATTTATTAACTCGTCTAGCTAAAGTTTATGAAGTCAGTAGGATTGTCGGCACGCAATTTCTCTGTCTTGCTCTCGAAGTCTCAAAACGGAGTACCCAACAAAGTCGTGAAATGGCGGGAATGAGTTAGTCCGGCGGGTAGTCGAACCAATTGCTTAGCTTTATCCAGGTCTGGAGACTAGAGTAATCAGCCATGGCCTTAGTTTTAAGTTCTCCATCTCCGCTAGCTCCACAACCTTCCTGGTTCACTCCGAAAAGGTACTTATTCAATGTATTTCTCACGCTAATCCGGAAATTCGTTGAATGATACTGTCTCAGGATTTGGCTCTAGCTTAAGAAAGAGTAATCGAGAGAAAAACAGTATAATATCATACAAAGAGAATAAGAGAGATGGAGAAGAAGCTCGAATGGATGATTCATACATGTTTAGGCGATTACAAGAGTATTTATATGAACTAGTTTACAATACTATTTCGTTAACAGACTGCCACTTCAGCTAACCAACTAACAGAAACTAACAGAAACTAACAGAACTAAGCTAACACTTTATTCTGTATCAATCCTTCCCCCTTGACAAATGACTTGCCCTCAAGTCTTATTCAGTTTTGCAACAAACTCAGGAAATTGCTTAACAATGTAATCATAGAATTCCCAAGTTGCATCAACCACATCACATCCTTTCCATTGAATTAGATATTGTACAGCTGTCATATTTTGTCTTTTGACAATTCTCCTATCCAACACAGCTTCTGGTTGTAAGCTATCCTCCCTATCTCTTCCTTGTAGCCATTGAGGAATGAAAGGATTTGCTGGCAATTTTCCTTTGAATTTCTTTAACTGTGACACATGGAAAACATTGTGGATCTTAATTTCTTTTGGAAACTTGAGCTTGTAAGCCACCTTTCCTACTGTGTCAACAATTTGAAATGGCCCAAAGTATTTAGGGGCTAACTTCTGGTTTGATCTTTGCTGCACAGAAGTTTGCCTATAAGCCTGTAACTTTAGCCATACCCATTCTCCTTTCATAAAGTTCCTCTCAGACCTTCTTTTATCTGCTTGCTTCTTCATTCTCTGCTGGGCTTTAGATAACTGCTGTTTGAGAAATTGAATCATATTTTCTCTTCTTTGCATAGTTCTGTCTACTACCTCTACTGAAGTCTCCCCTGGTAGATAAGGTAGATGTACTGGAGGGGGTTGATTATAAACAGCTTCATAAGGAGTCATTTGGGTTGCTGAATGATAGGTTGTATTATACCACCATTCAGCTAGGGGCAACCAGTTTGACCATTCTTGAGGTTTTTCACTGCACATACACCTTAGGTAAGATTCCAAACACCTGTTGACTACCTCTGTTTGTCCATCCGTTTGAGGATGATAAGCTGAGGATAGTTTCAGCTCAGTTCCCTGTATCAGAAATAATGCTTGCCAGAATTGACTTATAAAGATACTGTCTCTATCACTTATAATGCTTCTAGGCCATCCATGTAATTTGAACACATGATCCAGATAAGATTGTGCCACTTCATTTGCAGAATAAGGATGAGTAAGTGCCATGAAATGAGCATACTTACTGAGTCTATCCACCACCACAAATATTACTTCTTTCCCATAAGAATTGGGTAATCCTGTGATGAAATCCATTGAGACATCTTTCCAAACTTCCTCTGGAATTGGTAAGGGTTGTAATAACCCAGGATAGGCAGCATTATCATTCTTGTTAGCTTGGCATATAATACAGTTTTGAATAAAAGATTTGACATCCTTATTCATTCCCTTCCAAGTAAACATATTTTTCATTCTTTTCAAAGTGGCATCTCTTCCCGAATGTCCCCCTTCCGCTGACCCATGCATCCATTTTAAAATAGAATTCCTTAATTCCTCATCAGGCCCCACCACTATTCTTCCTTTCTTTCGAATTAACCCATTCATAATTTGGTATTTTAAAGCATTGACATTGTTTTGATGTAATCTTTGCTCCAACTTAGATAGAAACTCATCCTTATTGTAACTGTCCTTGATATTTTGAACTAAATCGGATTGTATATCTGAGATAGCCAAATATAAAAGTTCACTTCCTTCTACTCTGGATAAAGCATCAGCAACTTTGTTCTCCTTTCCAGCCTTGTACTGAATTTCATAGTTAAAGCCCATCAACTTGGACAACCAAAACTGTTGGAATGGAGTAGATATCTTTTGCTGTAAAAGCCATTTCAAACTTTTCTGATCTGTCTTTATTACAAAGGGTTGTCCAGTAAGATATTGTTCCCACTTCTGTACTGCAAATACAATGGCTAATAGTTCCTTCTCATAAACTGACAACTTCTGCCATTTAGGACCAAGAGATTTACTGATGAATGCTAGGGGATGATCATCTTGCATTAAAACTGCCCCAATCCCAGTGTTTGAAGCATCAGTTTCAATAATGAAAGTCTTCTGAAAATTGGGTAAAGCCAACACAGGTGCTGTAGATAATGCTGTTTTGAGATTCTGAAAGGCTCTCATTGCTTCATTTGTCCATCGAAACCCTTCCTTTTTCAGTAGTTGAGTCAATGGCTGACTGATTGCCGCATACCCTTGAATGAATTTCCTGTAATACCCAGCCAACCCCAGAAAACTCCTTAATTCTTTCACATTTTGTGGTGTTGGCCATTCATTGATTACTTGAATCTTACCAGGATCAGTCTCCACTCCTTGCCCAGAAATGAAATGGCCTAAATATTCCACTTTGTCTATGGCAAATGCACATTTACTAGCTTTAGCATACAGAGAACTTTGTTCCATCAACTTAAAAACAGTGGCTAGATGCTTGATATGTTCTTCCAGTGATGAACTATATATTAATATGTCATCAAAGAACACTAAAACACATTTTCTGAGCAATGGTTTAAAAATATGATTCATCCAAGCTTGGAAAGAGGCTGGTGCATTTGTAAGACCAAAGGGCATCACTAGAAATTCATAATGGCCTTCATGTGTTTTGAAGGCAGTTTTGAATACATCACTTTCATGTACTCTCAATTGATGATAACCTGCTCTAAGATCCAGCTTAGAGAACACCTTAGATCCTGCTAATTCATCAATTAATTCATCAACCACAGGGATTGGAAATTTGTCTTTAACAGTTTTCTTATTAAGCTCTCTGTAATCAACACATAAACGCCATGATCCATCTTTCTTCCCAATCAACACTACTGGAGAAGCAAAGGGGCTAGAACTGATTTGTATAATGCCCTGATCTAACATTTCTTGTATTATCTTTTCAATAATATCTCTCTGTTTCAAAGGGTATCTATAAGGCCTGATGTTGACAGGTGACTCTCCTGGTAATAAGGGAATCTTATGATCAAATGTTCCCCTATTAGGAGGTAGTCCTTTTGGTTCTTCAAAAATTGTACTAAATTGTGTTAGTAATTCTTGAACTGATTCAGGAATTTTTGCCCCTACAACTTCAGTTTTCAACAAGTTGGGACTATCCTGTGAGGGATCATTGGCAGTATCAGGTCCATAAGCATGTATCAAATACAATTGTGTTGCTCCTTTCATTTGTTGGATAGATGGGCTTGCCTTTATTCCTGTGATTTTAGGACTGATACCTCTCAGAACATGCCTCTTTCCTTGATAGAAAAAGTCCATTTGCAGCTTCTTAAAATCCCATTTTATAGTTCCCAGCGTACTCAGCCACTGAACTCCCAGAACCATATCACAGCCCCCCAAAGGAATGACTAAAGCTTCTGTCTGAAATTGAGTGTTCTGTAACTTCCAATAGAAATCCTTACAAGCAAATTTGCAAGGTAAATGGTTCCCATCTGCAACTGCTACTGATTGTGGTTGAATCTGCTCCAGTTTACACCCCCACTTCATAGCCATTTTCTGGTCTATAAAGTTATGAGTGCTACCTGAATCTATTAATATGTGGATAGGTTTTCTTCCATGATATCCTGTCACCCTCATGGTTTGAAACCCTTGTATTCCAACAAGTGCATTGACTGAGATACAAGGTTCATCCTCTAAGATTTCATAATCTGAATCCTTATTTTCTTCTGGAGTTTCCATCACAGTCATGTCCACTGAATCTTCATCTCCCACAATTTCAACAGTGAAGAGTTGTGTGTGTTTGAACTTGCAGTTATGGTTTCGGTTGTAAGGCTCATCACAAAAATAACACAACCCTTTCTTCTGTTTTTCTGCTCTCTCCTCTGCACTAATATATCTGGTTGTTTTAGCACTGTTGGGGACTGAAGTCTGGTAGATATTGTGAGAATTAGGATTAGGTAACAATGGTTTAGAACCAATGTTGTTACCTTTCTGCATTAAATTCTGATTGGTTGCCCTGAGATGAGAAGCTGACTGATATATTCCTGGTTTAGAATATGCTTTTGAAGCAGTTATCATTTCTTCCTGTAAACGTGCATACTCAATAGCAGCAGATAAAGTTTTGGGTTTAAAAGCCTTGACAAAAGGTTTAACTGTAAGTTTCAGTCCTCCAATAAAACTCTCCAAGAAATATTCATCAGGCAATATATGATTGGTTTGCAGCATAAGACTCCTCAAATTCTCAAAAGAATCAACATAATCTTCTAAACTTCCAATCTGTTGCAGTTTATTGAACTGTTCAACCACATTATTGCCTATTTCATCTTTAAATCGAGCACACAGATCAATAATGAATTCATCCCAAACAACTTGACTCCTTCCAATAGTATAGTTATGAAACCAGTCCTCTGCCTTTCCAGTAAGAAACATGCATGCCAAATCAACTCTTTGACTATACTCTATTTTGCAGAGGTTAAAATACTTCAAGCATTTCTTTATCCATATCTTCGGATTTCGGCCATCAAACACAGGAAACTCTAATTTAGGAGAAAAATTAAAGTTTCTTGAATTAGGTTTACCTTGCTTGCCGATGTACTCATGATGAGATTTTTCTCCTTCATCATCGGATAAAATCTGGTGAATGCTTTCTTCTTCCTTTCTTTTCTTCTTGTCATTCAAAACCTTGAGAATTTCTCCAAGAACTATAGATTGCTCCTCCAATTTCTGTTCCAGTAAGCCAACTCGTTCCTCCATTAGAATCTTCAATTGAGCTACTGTCAATTGCTTCTTTGGTGGTGCCAGTTTAATTTGGTGTGCTTGATCAATATTTCTGATAAACTTTGCAGGTTTCAGAATCGTGAGCTCTGATACCAATGATACTGTCTCAGGATTTGGCTCTAGCTTAAGAAAGAGTAATCGAGAGAAAAACAGTATAATATCATACAAAGAGAATAAGAGAGATGGAGAAGAAGCTCGAATGGATGATTCATACATGTTTAGGCGATTACAAGAGTATTTATATGAACTAGTTTACAATACTATTTCGTTAACAGACTGCCACTTCAGCTAACCAACTAACAGAAACTAACAGAAACTAACAGAACTAAGCTAACACTTTATTCTGTATCATTGAAATTGAGTACGGTCGCCTATAGATTTTAGAACATTTCAATCTACTTGTTAAATGTGTAGCACTTCTCTGAGGCTAATATTACTTGAACCGCTAGCTATGAGGCTAATTTTAACCAGCCATGGTTGTATTTTCTGGATCACCAAATAAGTGATCTTGACACAAATATCCTTCTCTATAATTTTGGATGCTCGTCATAACTTCTTGTTTGGTTCTGATTTTTGTTTCTTTATTCTTCAAATTGATCTTCTTTCAAAATCATTGAAGTTTTTAGGTTTATTTATCGCAGGGTAGTGCGATATTACCCTCCTTTCCATTGGGTTCAGCGTTGTATATTAGTGGTTAGGGTTAGGTAGTTTGAATCAGTAAAGTGCTGACTTGAGAGTTGCATCGTGCTGATAAGGTTGAGAGAAGACTATCTATGCGATATAATTGAAATGGGAAGCTTGGTCGCCTTACTATCATCTTTGCATGTATATTGATTTTCTTGGTTCTAATACTAATGATTTAGGTTGCTTGCAATTTTCTGCATCATCAACTTGCTAAATTATGTGGACCGGGGAGTTATAGCTAGCAATGGTGTCAATGGGAGCCCTGGAAGTTGTAGCGAAGCTGGTATATGCTCATCTGGCACTGGAATTCAGTAAGTATATATGCTACAAGAATATTGCAACTCATCAGCACTACTTATGTGGTCCTGGCCTCCTGTTTTTTTTTTTGTTGGACCCGAGACCGGAACCGGTAATCCTGGATCCAGTCGACCGTCCGGTCCCTCCTGCCGTCCTGGTCCATCAGTTATGAGCTCTACCCTATCCCCTTTTAATAATTCAATCTCATGCCACTTACCTTTTCATCTTCTTTACGTAAACAGGGGCGAGTTTAACTTGAATAATTTCAAGGATGGCGTCATATCATCTGCCTTTATGGTAGGGCTACTTCTAGCTTCACCCATATTTGCATCCTTAGCAAAAAGGTGACAACTCTCATTATTTCTGTATGGTAGGGCTACTTCTAGATTCACCCTAGGAAATTATTTACATCAGATTTTAAAAAAGTAATGTCAATGTTTTTAACCCTTTGACAAGTCAGCGAAGGAATTCTATTGTGATGTTAACAGTAATATTCAGAGTGAACTATTGGAGCAACAACCCTTGTAATATTCAGAGTAATTACATTGCGAGTTTTCTCTTCTATTTGAAGATTTTGTGTAACCCTATATTTGGCCTACATATATCTCACAATCTTGGTTGAAAACAACATGAAAGCGATATGAGAAGAAAAGAATAATAAGATATTGTGTTGTGCCTCTAAAAAGTTAGTACTTTCTTATGTGTGAGGTTGTGTGTGTGAATTTTGCAGTGTAAACCCATTTAGGCTTATTGGAGTTGGATTGACAGTCTGGACTTTAGCAACTGCTGGTTGTGGATTTTCAGTAAATTTCTGGTCAATTACAATATTCCGCATGTGAGTTAATCTAGTTTCCTTCACCGGCCGTACCTGCTTCTCTCGCTTCTCTTCTACGCCTTATTATTCGTGTCACTGTGCTTCTTTACATATCCCCCCCCCCGCCCCCCCCGCCCACCAGGTTTGTAGGTGTTGGTGAAGCTTCTTTCATCAGTCTTGCTGCTCCTTTCATTGATGATAATGCCCCAGTTGAGCAGGTTTGGCTCTACTTTTGTCATTTTAGATACAAAACATTCCATTTTTAGTGCCACAAATATTGATAATTCCCACTTTTCCTTTTTCCCCTTTCGGTGCACCACTGTTGACTTCTTTCCTCTTTGGATCCTTTCCCGTCACTTATTCAGTAAAAATCAATAGTTGCACAGCAAAGTATAATTGTCAAGAAATATATAGTTGCACATCAGAAATGGAAAATTGAAAAGCGGAGACCAAATTTGGGAATGACTAAATAGTGAAGGATCAAAAGTGAAAAATTTTCCATTTAGATAAATCACTTACTTTTGCTTGTTACCTTGAGGGATCAGAAGTGAAAAAATTTCCGTTTAGATAAATCACTTACTTTTGCTTGTTACCTTGTAAGTGAAAACGTTAGTAGCCTGCATAATTTTTCCTTTTTTTAGAAATCAATGACTACAACAACATCCAAGCCTTAGTCCCAAAAGATATTGGGGTCAGCTTTTTAGAAATCAATTACTCCTTTAAACTTATTATACTGAGCACAAAGATTGGTTATGTTAGAACTTCTGGAACAGTGTTTAGAGTTACTTAAAAAAATGTTACTCCCTCCGTCGCATAATGTAAGATACATGTGGGTTTAACACAGTTCTCAAGAAAGTTAAGGATAAAGTGTTTGTTTTACCATTTTAACCTCCAAAAGTAAGAAAATGTAAGATGAGTTCACAAAAAGTAAATGGTGAAATGATATACTATCTATAAAGGGATAAAGCGGGAAAGTAAAAACTTAGTGGAGTTCAATTTAGGAAAGTGTTCATATTTCTGGGACAATCCAAAAAGGAAAGTGTATCTTACAAATTGGGGCTGAGGAGTACTTCACAAGATGGCTAGTTGAGTATTTGCATATGACTGGTAGTGTTTTTCCTTTATCATCATCATCCTCTTCTTTTGATATTGGCATCAATTGTCTGTTCATTTTCAGAAAGGGTTTCAAATGGTAGTGTTCATTGTGTGATTGAATAACTTGTCCAGCTTTTTTTTCAAGCACATTTCTGTAAGGGTGACGATCTGTTGTTAAAAAGATCTAATAAAAATAGAAGACAGTCAAACACAATGAATGCATGGATTATGCTTCTACCAAATTGAAGGCTCCAATTGCCACTTTTTTTTGCAACCCAAATATTTTCCTAGCGGGTTATTTAGTTACTATAGCTACTTTATGTAATTCTTTATAGCTGATGTTTTACTTGTATCAGAAATCAGCATGGCTTGGAGTGTTTTACATGTGTATTCCAACGGGGGTTGCCTTTGGCTATGTCTATGGTGGACTGGTACGCATGCTATTTTCTGTTACTGACTTTAAAATCCTCCCGGGAATTGCCTATCGTTCTTTTTTATTTATTTAAATGTCTTAATAAAAGCACTATCTGAAATTGTCACTCTTTTTCTTGTTACAGGTCGGAACATATCTCACATGGCATTGGGCCTTTTGGATTGAAGCAGTATTAATGCTTCCCTTTGCTATTTTAGGTTTCCTCATGAAACCATTACAATTGAAAGGTTCATTCAGTCACTCCTTTGCTCCGATCCTTTTTTGCATTCTCCCGCTATTGTTGCCTATATTTGGTTTTACAGGGTTCTCTCCCACGGGCTCAGAAAATGTGCTGACTTCTGCAAAAACTGCATGCTTAAGAGAAGAAGGTACTACAAACCAATATTCATATGCACAAGAGTTTGTTGGTGTAGATATGCCTTTATTTACTCTTGTTTCAGACAAAACCAGTTTTTTATTTTTTTACATTATTATTGGAATAAAAGCATACATACTTATAATGTTTGTTTTTGTTTGTATGGTGACAATCTTTCTTTGACTTCGAAATTTGTATCAAATGCAGTTACTTCAACTGGTAAAGATGGTTCCATTGATGATGCCTCTAAAGCTTTCAGGTATTGAGTTTTCCTGACCTAATAGAGCATATTCTTGATTAAAGAAAACTACATGACCACTATGACACTATCATTTATGATTTATAATTTTACATATTTTTTTTGAATGTAGGTCAAAAGGTGTTGGTAGTAATGCAGGTCATTTCAGGAGAGTTTTGAAAGATATGGGATCTCTTTTGGGTGAAAAGATTTATGTTGTCAATGTTCTAGGTACACTTTTGACCCTTGCAACTATAATTACTGATCCGGCACCCTTTGCAATGACTAGTAGATATAATCAGGAGTACTTTATTTGTAATTTGAAGTTTTGATCCCCATGTAACCATGCTCTCTTTTGTTTTTATTCATTGACTGGCAATCTAGATGTGATATTGGGAATCACTTCAATGTATTTATCACAAATTTATTTTTCTGAAGCAACTTATCCATCATTTGCTATGGAGCCAAAGATTCATTATTTTTTGGCTTGAGAATATGATGGAATAAAGCAAAATGGCTCACTAAACTGTTGTGCTTCTTTGCTATGAAGCAACAGTCAGTTCATGCAATTTTGGACGCGATTTTCACTATGGGTCTTCCAAAAACAGTCTCTCTGTACTTGTACAGGGGTAAGACTGTGTACATCCGACCCCCCCCCCTTACCCCACCGTAGGTGGGAGCCTTTGCGGCACTGGGGTAAATGAAAATGATATGAAATGAACTTATGCAATTGTTCTTCGCTCTGAATTCCTTTTCAGGATATATAGCATATAATTTTGTGATAGGCGCATACTCCTATTGGGGACCAAAGGCTGGTTACAACATATATCAAATGGTGAGTTGGTGAACTGTACACTAAAGAAGTGTGAGATTAGAGCTTGTGTATATGTGGTTCTCATTTCAATGTACTGTAGAGCAACGCGGACTTGCTGTTTGGAGGCATTACAGTTGTTTGTGGAATATTTGGAACACTAGCTGGTGGCTTTGTTTTGGATCTCATGACTGCCACACTACCCAATGCCTTCAAGGTAGTTTTTCTTGCCATTCATTTTTGCAATTTTCATTTATTCACTGTGCATCTGAAATTCTGAATTTTGTCATGTTTTAATAATATGTGAGTGAGTTTGGCCCATTTTTAGTACTCGGACTATTGTGGCAATGACATTTGTGGTAACTCTTTGAAGTATTCCATTTAGTTCTCTAGCTACTCACAATTCACTTTCAGGATCTTTGTTTGTTATCTTTAGTCCCTTCTCTTTATCATGATATAGTCATTTTTATGCTAGACATTCAATTTTTGCCACAACAATCGGAGGACCAACTTATCAAGTGTAGTCGAAGAGCCAAAAGTATAATAATTCAAGACCAGGTGCCAAAAGTTATTTGACACTATAGTCAGATGACTATTAGTGGGAAAATATAAAGAAAATACTAAAACGTGCCAAACTCGTCACTCTCACAATAGACAGTGAACTAAAGTGGAAAGACTATGATAAAGGGAAATAACTTCTTTTGTCTTTGCTGCATAGTTATAAATGCCAAATTCACATATGCTTACGAAGTATTGCATTGTTGCAGCTTCTCTCTGTAGCAACGTTTTTTGGGGCAATATTTTGCTTTGCTGCCTTTTGCTTTAAAAGCTTATATGCTTTCATAGCTCTCTTTGCAATTGGAGAACTGCTAGTGTTTGCCACTCAGGTAAAACTTTCCAATTTGCCACTCAGCCTAATGCTTTTGAATACGCTTTTCTTTCTTTCTATGGTTCGGTTTCTGTGATCAATGTATCAGTCCACATGAAAACTTCTTCACTTATAGCCTACTAAGAAAAAGGGCAGCTTGAAAAGTTAAGGGGGCAATTTGGAGAGTCACATTAATTCTTTAATAAACAGAGACTGTATGATTGACACATATTTCCTAATAATTTAGGGGCCGGTGAATTATGTGTGTCTACATAGTGTGAAGCCAAATTTGAGGCCATTGTCCATGGCTATATCTACTGTATCAATTCACATATTTGGAGATGTTCCTTCATCTCCTCTTGTTGGGGTTCTCCAGGTTTGTGCTATTTCCTTGTACAATCAAGAGCTTGTTGGGTAGAGTCATTTCCAAGGTTCTTGATAGCGAGTTAGTGATCGATGTTATGTTACTTTATGCAGGATCATGTAAACAATTGGAGGATTAGTGCTTTGGTTTTGACGTCTGTTCTGTTTCTAGCAGCTGGAATATGGTTTATAGGTTAGTACTCCCTTTTTTCATACTTTTGTACATGAACATGTGTTGTCTTAACTAAGTGTCGACAGTTAATTTTGACACTAATAAATACGCAGTATAAGTTTCTAAATTTTTGAAATTTGCAGGGATTTTTGTTCATGGTGTGGACAGATTCTATGAAGATAGTGAAGAACAGTCAAGCACAACATCCCTCCTTGAGGAACATATGGCAGAAAGAGTCGAATCATCTGCATCGCCTTAGTTGCTTTTGAGAAACAAAATGCCAAGCAAATGCATACTTTTTCATAGCTTCTCGCAAGCATGTAAATATTCATCATCATCATTGGTTTTGGTAAAATTAAAATTAATATTATAATTATTATTTTTTATCATTACTGTTATTATTATTTTATAATAATAAAAGCGTTATTGTTTTTACTCATTTTCTCCAGTCGCTTGATTATTTTAAATTAATTTAGATTGGACTCTGTGTTGATGCCAAAAAGTGTTTAAGAGTGTACTCTAGGATAAAAAGAGAGCGGCTTATTTTCATATAAGTTCTTTTCTTTTGTTTTTTTTAAAGCAATTTTTATTAAACAAAGTTGCAGAGGAAGTACAAAATAACAAGGGCGGTGTAGAAGGAAAAAAAAAAAAAGATACAAGCGATAATAGTAAAACACTGTCCCAAAATGCATCAAAACCCACCCCTAGAATGTCATAGTTCTCATTCAAGTTGAGATTCAAATTGAGATTGAGATCTTGTTCTCATGATAAGCGGTCATCTCATGATATGCGACCGCTGATGCTTTTTCCTATAAATTTTAATCTGAGTGCTTAAATTCTGCGTGGGTAAGCAGTTGTCTCTCGTCACCAATCTGGATTTGTTACAAATATCCTGATTCATATCAGTTCTTTTCTTCTCAGTGTATATCTTGTTTATGAATAAACGTTTTTAGACCCGCTATTGAAGACTATACTTGATAGTTGATACTTGATTGGTATGGGAATTATTTGATCACTAAATCAAACAAAGTTACAAAGCCCTAGCTTTGTCCTCTCCAAGAAAGTTAGCTACCCGTCTATGAGTAATGCCTAGGGTTGGACCGGTTCCGGTCCCGGTCCGGGCCTGACAGGGCTTTTTTTGGGGAAGTGATGCCCGGATTTTTTTCTTTTATTCTAATTAACCCCGACCCCCGACCCCAAAACACCCAGCCAAACCTGGGAAAAACAGAAAAAATTGAAAAAAAAGGGTCTGAACCGGGTCCGAAACCAGGTCCACGGGTCGGTTCCTATTTTACATGACCCAGGCCCGCTCTAGGTAACACCCGGTTCGGGTCGGCCTGGACCGGTCCAATGCCCAATTGGCGGGCCGGGCCGATTCCAAATAGTGCCGGGCCGGCCGGTTCACGAGCCAGTCGGCCTGGTTGCGGTCCATCCCTAGTAATACCATTGTAGAGGCTACTAGGCATGGAACTAGGTTGGGCCCGGGCCTGCCGATTCCGGTTTTAAATAGTTGAAGCTTGATACCAACCCGGTTTGTTCTGGTACTGATTTCAGTCTAGGTCCAAACAATACTAGTCCCGGGTCGGTCCCGTGCATGGACCCGCCCTTTAACCAATATTTTATTTAAAATAGTAATTGTTGGGCCAAGGACCGGTGGTTGGGTCCGGTCCAAAAATTCAAGCTTTAGCTCGACCCTTTTCAATTTTTCATACCACTGTCCAGGTACCAGGGCGGTACCGGTACTAACAGTGCCGGTCCCAAGTCGGGCCACCCGGACCCAATCCATCCCTACAAGCTACCCACTTCACTATCGGCACCACCAACACTGCCATCTCTATTAAAAGTAAAAAATCCACCACCATAGCAGCCTTGCTGATCCGTCATCACAATCATTGCTGAACTTAACCAGTTTCTCACCCAGTCAAAGAATTGGTAGGAAAGTGGGTCTCAAATCATGATGGCTTCATCTACATTTCGGCAAAGATTGGGAAAGACAATGTCATGAGGGAGCTCCAGAGAATCCCATTTGTTTACCTCAAACAGTGGAAAGCAGATGAATAATGCAAAATTGGGCCTCAAAGAAAAGCCATTGATCTGTTAAGTAATTTCATCACTTTCATATGATTTAGCTAGGAAATACTTCTTGGATGATACATACTAAATAGAATGAAAGATATGTTTTGCATCAAGGAAGAACTTTATTGCAAGTAAAACAAAATTCATGTATGAATTACAAGAATCGAGTTTCTCTCAGAAATCGAATGATAAATGAATCTTAGACAAAAATTCCGAACAAGGATTGGTTGGACATGGCTTGAACATTAGCAAGGTTCCTGCTTTTAAATAGGTATTAGACCTGCAGCAAGGTATTATAGAAGTGAAAGCTCACCAGCTGGAACAGATCTTTTGACAAGCTTGGCCCAAGATTCATTGGTTTCTTTAATCACCTTCAGCGCATAGTCCTGTCATGACACGCACACAAAGCTCATTAGCTTAAAAAGTAAAAAACCACTTGCAAATCACATTTTGTTTTGAAGACCACCCAAAATTGTTACCAAGTTTGTCTGGTGAAGCATGTATACCTTATTTGCAGCTTTATTTCCAAGGCCAAATCTGTTAGCCGGTTTTCCATCAGGGATCTTGTAGTCCCTAAACCATTCCCTGATAGCCACAAGTGTGCCCTGAAAAGAAATATCAAAAGCACAAAAGAAACATGGTTATCACACAAACTATAAATATCAAATAAACTACTCCCTGTGTCGCCAAAAAACCCACGTTTCACCGAGGCACAACTCTAGCATGAGTAAGGTACAACTATTGGACATCATTAATGCTTGAGCTAGTTTTAAAATTTATTTCTCTAACTAAGTTAAACATATTTAACTTGTTTGGAACACATTATTTTGAAAAAATACATCAAATATAACACTCTGTAACAACTAGCTTATTTTGTTCGAGTGTCATTTTTTATGGGACAGTTTTTTTAATTATCAAAGATCACATTTTTTGGGAGGGAATACTTGTCAATGGCACTAAACTTAGGGAGTGTTTGCGATTGCTTGTGCTTTTTAAAAGTGATTTTTTAAGAGATTATAGGAAAAGTGATTTGTAGTAAAAGTTGATAGTGTTTGGGAATAGAAGTGATTTTAATTAAAATGTAAAAGTTGGAGTGTTTGATAAAAAAGTGATTTTTTTGGAAGTAGATTGTAGAAGTACAAAACTATCCTTCCATAATTACAGTGTTTCTTCTCTTGGATCTTTCTTTCATCAGAGCATTCCAGTGTGTTCGACGAGTGAGTTTGAAGAGAAGACAACTCTCTCACATACCATCTTGCTTCACCAGCTGGTTGAATTTCGAAGATATCCGTATCTATTATTTCAATTCACATTCCAAATTTCCAAGCCGCTGACCGCACCGGCTAGTTCTTCAAACTTGTTTAAATCAGGGTTCTATGATGCATTCTAATGGCCTGCCTGCTAATTTCTTTAGAACAAAAAAAAATGAAAAGAGGAAGAGGGTGGTCCTGGTCGTGAATTGGGGCAAGTGAAGCACGAAGGAAGCTTCTGAATTGGGGATTTGGGGCAGGTAAAGCATGAAGCAAATTGCAGGTCTGCGAAAAAGGAAGGGTAGTTTGGGATTAGGAGAAACATTTGACCATTATAATTATCCTTGGAGTTCTAATTATTTACAAGTATACCAAGAAGTTGATAAAAGCAGTTAGAAGCAGCACCCTGGTAGCTTCTAATTTATGACTTTAAAGTGCTTTTTTTTAATTAGAAGTTGGGTTTGACAAACACCCATTTTAGCTTTTTTTAAGTTAAAAGCTGGAAAGTGCTTATTTTAAGCAACTGCAAACACACCTTTATAGATGCTATACCCATCAGTGGCAATGATTAGACAGAGTCTAATAAACTGGTATACAGTTATACACTCTACACGTTACACATGTCAGTACGAAAACAATAATACTCATAACACTTATATGCAAAAATGCTACTCCGTATTTAATTGTTGCTAAACATACCGGGAAATGGGTTTCAACATCCTCAACATCATTAACCAGAGAAGCTCTTGGGTCATCTAGTGAAATTGCAACAATCTTCCAGTCAAGTTCTCCTTCATCAATCATTGCTAAAGTGGCTACCGGCTTTACTTTTAGTACCTCACCAATTTTCCTGCTCCTTTCCCCAATCTCAACAACATCAACTAGTACACATAGTAAAATAACTATATTAGTAACACATTTATTTATTTTCTTTTAGGGTAGCGAAATATTTGTCATCGACATTATGTAATACCAGGGTCATTATCTCCAAGTGCCCCCTCAACATCAGAGTTTGCAAATGAAGGGTCTTCCCATGTTTGAGGAAGCATTCCATAATTCCAATGAATATTGAACCTATCCAAAATTGGGCATATCTTGCTTTATCTTATCATTATTTCATATTCATGAAGGTTCTTGAACAAATATATGGGAAGTCTTACGGATAATATCTTAGTTTCCCTTTTTTTATATCTTGTTTGATTGGAGTGTGTTGCTCATCAGTGGCAACCTCCATTTTTGCACTTGTTTCTTTAGGGATTTCAACAATGAAGTTGAAGACATCATCACCCGAGCGTAGTGGTATATCATGCCATGGAGACACCTACAGATAATTAAAATTGCAAGAAATCACAAAACCCTTCATAAATAAACAGTATAAAACTATAAACACCCAAACATGCCAAATGAAGATGACTTTTCAAGTAAGTTGCTATAACATAGTAGCAAACAACTTTAAATGGTAAAGTTTGTTCAAAATACCACCAAGTTGTTTTATGTAAGGTATGGGTTCAACTTGTAAAAGTTTTACCTTGCTAACAATGAAAATTCATAGCTTGGCTAAACGTGAACTTTTATCCTGGGGGAGGAACAGATGGATTCTATAATAATGTTACACTTCTAAGCAATAATATCAACTTTTGACAATTCCGTTTCTTGACATTCTATTACACAACAGATCAACAATAGAAAATGAAATAGTAATGCCAAAACTCAATCTTGGAAACAAAGACTAAATGAAACACAAAAATATCACAGCAATTAAAAAGTCCAAACTTGGTTAGAAACTGGAATGTTTTGCTGACCTTTTTTCCAGAATTGTTCACTAAGAAGACACGGTAATCAATGGTCTCAGGTTGGCCTTCTTCTTTGATCTGAAACTGAGGATTGTAAATAGCACTGCAAGTGAGGAACCGGCTCTTCTGTGAAGGGACACTCTTGAAGCAGAGATTGAAAGTATTATGCCTTCTTAATGGACCTCTGGAAAGTACAGAGGTTGTGATAGTGTTGCTGGCCGATATCATCACTCTAGAAGTCGCCATTGCAGAATGTTTGCTATAGATAAACCTATAGCAAACCCGTTAATTTAATGAGATATTGTTAAAGTAAGCACATTAATTAATAGTCGATTATGGTGGAAATCCTAAAAG